GAAAGTAAGATACTCTGGAAGGGGAGTAAAAATGAGAGCCTTCATGTATTGATTCTACTGCATTAACCCCTGTTCTGACCATGTTGGTTCCTGGTCTAAAGGAGACAGGGGGTCTCCCAGGCTGATGAGAGCTAATGCTTCTGAAAGACACAAAAATTATAGTAGTTCTAACAATGCTGTTTATTAAGTGCCTGATAGGTTTTCTTACAAGCCTCTTCATACACAGTATCTCAATTATGAAAGCTACCCAGAGATGATTATTCCTACTTTACACTAAGGAAAAAAACAAAAAAACCTTGTTCAAGGTCACACAGTGGGTATTATGACTGAACTAAGCTTGCAAACTCAAGCCTTTGGAGCTTCCAAGGCCATGTCTTGCCACAGTCCTAATCATGATACCCACCAACACATAAGCATCCCATTAAGATACACCAAGATGGGTGCCTGGGTGGCTTAGTTGGTTGGGCGACATACTCTTGGTTTTGGTTCAGGTCATGATCTCAAGGTTTGTGGGTTTGAGCCCCACATTGGGTTCTGCCCTAAGAGTTCAGAGAAGGCTTAGGATTCTCTCTCCCTCTCTGTGCCCCACACCCAAAACAAACAAAAAGCAACACCAAGAGATAAACCACTTTCTCAGTTTGGCTTCTCTCCTTTCTGAGGAATGGGAATGGGATGTTAGGTTGGAAAGGTTAGTTTCAGAAAGACATAAAGGAGATGCACTGCTCTACCTCCAAGTCCATGGGATCCATTCCTCAATAATGTGAACCAGAGTGGGGTGGGGGGGGGAAGGGGGGAGTCCACAGTATATGGTTTTTAGGGAATAGCCATTGGTTTGTCTTTTCAATTTTTTGGTTTGTATTAAAGTATAGAGACACTTATCACCTCCAAATACTTTCAGAATATCAAAACTTCATTAGATATTTACAGCCATGCTGAACTCTAATTACAAGGAGATTCTTCATCCTTTTCCTATAAAAGCTTTTATGATTTCTATTTCTATTGGTGCCCTTAGAATAGCTACAGACTCCAGGGAGGCCAGATACAACCAGCAAGAGCAGGACTTGGACACCCAAGTAATCATGACTCAATTAGAGAGTCTGTCTGTTCTCCTGAGACCTCTCTGGACCAAGCCTGACATACTAGGGATAGCTATGCTTAAGGTTAGATTTTGTGTTCATTCTTCTGGGACAAAGCCTGTTATTTTCGTTCTCTACTAAGGGAAGTGGGAAGGTTAACAAGTCCAGATAGAATTCCCTCAACCCCTGAACAGAATGCTTATAAGTGCCAGGCCTCAGTGGCATTTGCAGAGCCCTAGGCTCTTGCTGACACTACCCAGCAGAGGTAAGAGCATTGTATAAAAGGGGAATCTAGAAAAGGAACAGAGGTCATCAGGAGGGGTTCCAAGACTATTAGGATGAACAGACTTGGGACCCTTGGGCATTCTACTTCTGACTGTGCTCCTGTGTAAGTCTCCAAGACAAGACTCAGAGGGAAGGAATTCTCTTGGGAGGGGACTTGAAGTGTGGAATCCATACAGAGCTCATGCTTCCTTACAGATTCAAGGAGTCTGAAGAGGCCCCCTAGATTGCTAATGGCAATCCAAAACACTCCAAGACACCTGCCAATGTTTTCAATATGCAATAGGTTATTCTCATTCAACATAGCTAGGCATTGTGTTACCCCAGGGATTATACTAGAGAAGATAGGAATGCTCCTTATTCTTATGAAACTTAGATTGTTTGAGGGATCATCCATGTAAGCAGGTAATTCAGAGCACTGTGTGTATAGTACAAAGACAGGCACTGAGCACAGACAGGGTTGGAGTGATTTAAGGTGACATCTAAGTTATGGAAAGGTGCATATGTAAGGATTGGCTAGGTGAAGAGGAATGCCATCCCAACACCAAGAACATGGGTAATTCTTAGAGGCAAAAGAACATGATATAGTTAGGAAGTAGAAAAATTCAGCCTTGTTGGAAGGTAGTGGGTAGGGTCAAGAATGGTAAAAAATCTGGTTGGTGTTGGCAGATGTATTTGGATAGAGCTCAGGTGGCAGGTTGGCCTGACTCCTTATATCCTCATGGCAACTCTGAGCAGGAGCTTCAGTAGCCTTCCCTTCTGTTGTGTTTGAAGTGTGAAGGCTGTTTGACTAGGGAGACATATGTTAAGGAATGTTAGGATCTTAGGGAAGGATGGGAATGGGGCAGTCAGCAAAGTTAACCAAGACTCAGCCCAGTCCCATTTAACAATGGAAGTGCATCTCTCCAGTCATGGGTACCCTTTTCAGTTTTATTAGGGGTTTCTGGAGATGAATAGGAAGAGGAAAACATGGAGAGGAAACGGTCATTGGGAAAAAGAGCTCTGTATGTTGTCAGGTATAGGGGAGGAAAGAGAAAGGATACAAATAAAATCTGTCTTCTTCAGGGCTTGAGGCCATTCCAGGGGACTGAAGACATTTGGCTTGGCTCTAGTAAGGTCTGATGTAGTACAGGTGTGCTGGATTTCAAGAGAAATCACTTCTGATGTCTAGAAGTCCCTAGTTATACTTAGCTTTGTATGTAACTTGGGCTGTGAGATCTTCCAACAACAGGACTTCTCTGCCCAAACTCCGAAGGAAATGATTCCCCAGATTGTGAGGCAGCATTGATGAGACTCAAATGGCATCAAAAGAAAAAAAAAAAGACTGCTGAAACCTCTTCACTAAAATAGGAGGGTAACTGCTGAGGGAGGAGGAGCATGGGGATAGAAAACATTCATTGACAAGTCCTGTTGATTTTTCCATTCAAGGGTTCTTCCTTTTCTGGAATAAAGATTCTCTATGTGATTACACCTTTGCTTAGTACAGCATCAGGTTATTAAAGCCAGTTGATTAGATGCAAGGGTGAAGTAGACAAGTCCCCTCTTAAGTCTAGAAGTCCTGGTAAAGGTCATTTAGCCCTGAATGCCATTCATTTGCCTGTAGAACTAGTTCTGTAAAGTTGTCAACTTTCAGATTACATGTCCTGCTAAGGAAGCAGACAACTTCTCAAAGACAGTACTGAGTGAAGATTGTATAGTATTGGGATCTGGTGTGACCCATCCAAACCAGTGGCCTGGTGAAAGTGGCAGTTGAAGAGATTATCTACAGAGGCCTGGAAAGGGTTATGGAAACTGACAAGGGGATGGTAAAGCACCAGAACCAACCTTGCACATTATTATCCTACTCAGGCCTGACCACATAAGGGAAGATGCTGTTGCCAGAAAACAGGAGGGGTCACTTTTTAGAGCTGTTGCCTTTGGTAGAAAACCATGGCAAGGCCATATGTGGGTGGCAGGAAGGGAACTGGAGAACATGTTCCTGATCTCCAGTCTCCTTTTCTTACCTCTTTTTGGTGCCTCATATTGGCTGAACTCCTCTAGAAGACAGAGGAGAAGGGAATCTGAGTAATGCAGCCCTATAAACTCCAGCTTATAGGGACCTAGGACAGGGCTTCAGAGGGACAAATGGAAAATAACCAGCACACAGGGTGAAAAAACCAAGACAGGCTCCCCTTGCCTGACTTCACCTGGTCACTTCAATCACAGGCTGGTTCCCATGCTCTTTTTTTTTTTACCCCAGCCTTAATGATTCAGCCTTTTTACTGCTACTGCCAACACTGTTCCCATTTGTAGTGATATAGGAGAACCTGGAGATGGAGAGGAAACCCAGCTCATCGAGAGGAATTCTGTGGGATCAAGTCATTACTATGGTGGTCATCCTCCCAGTACCACGGCTCCCTAGAGAGGCATTCCAAGGTTTTTTGAACTTTAATATTTCAACACCAAAAATATATCCAATATTCTCAACTGTGAAAAGCTAATGCTTACTGTTAATGTGTCAGCATTGCATTCTTGTTTAATCCTCATGCCTCCTCTAGGCTACAAGTGTTTAACTTTGTTGTCAGTTGAAGTCAATTATATATGATATGATATATGATATGATATGATATGTATGTAAACTTGCTTCAGCTCCTACTGCCAGGATCTGAAACCAGATCTGGAAAATTCCAAAGCCCAGACTATTAACTATCTGCTATAGTCAACCCAACAAGGTTCAAGATGTAGGAGACAAAACTTATATGTTTTTCTCCTTCCTTGACATTCCTCTAGTATAGATAGGAAACATTCTGGTATAATCCTTTAGACCCTGAAGAAAAACCCACACAAAATTTCTTCTAGGTCTTTTCTCAAAATACAAATATTCCTTTAGCCAGTTGTCCTGAACTCCAAGTAGGACATTTCTTCTTTGGCCAAATACTTGTCCTCTAGGCTTCATGCCACTCAGAGCTGAATGGGTCTTCTTCCCTAATGGGGAGAATGCTCTGCTTCTGGAGCCTTATCCTCTATTTAGCCTCCATAAAAGGAGAGGGCCCTTGCAAGGATCTGCCTCTCAGCAGACAAACTGAGTTACATTCAGCAGCTTTTCAGGAATTGCTTTGTTTCTATCCTTCAAGGTCCCTTTTCTTCACCGGTCCATGTCTTAGTGATTTTTGGCCTGTAGATTAAAGGTTTCAGATCATCCAATAGCAAGTGTTGGCCTGAAGCTTAACCTTTGATTTACCACAGAGCCTAGACAGTCCTGGGGGTCTATCAATGTGTCTTTTCAATAAGCTCTCATTTTGAGACCTAATAGAATACTGAGAGATACCGTATAGTTTACCTTTAAAGGACTAAATAGGTACTGGTCTGCCTTAGGTCATTTCAATGATTGGTGCAAGAACATTGCTCCTTGGGAGTCCTATTATACAGAGATACTCTTACATTCAAATATGTATTTGGCTTGTGCTTGGCAAATTTTTGTCAGGTAAAATTTTGTGACCATAATAATATGACACTTACACTATGATATTGTTCCATGATTTCTTTTAAGTTTATAGCATCTTACCAATGATTCTATTCTTTATTATAGGATTTAATAAAATATTTCTAGAAAAAGTTTCTACTGCATTTTGGGGCATGAGTGAGAAGGTTCATTTATGAATCATGCTCACTTTTCAAAATTCCTGCTCAGTACCCAGCTCCTTCCAGCTTGCCGGCATCCCAGGGCTGGAGTCCCTGCATCTCTGGCTTTCCATCCCCTTTGGCTCCATGTACCTGGTTGCCGTGGTGGGGAACATCACCATTCTGGCTGTGGTAAAGGTGGAGAATAGCCTGTACCAGCCCATGTACTTCTTTCTGTGTATGTTGGCGGTTGTTGACCTGGTTCTATCCACTTCTATTATGCCCAAACTGCTGGGAATCTTCTGGTTTAGTGCTGGTGATATTGGCCTGGATGCCTGCTTGGCCCAAATGTTCCTCATCCACTGCTTTGCCACAGTTGAGTCAGGCATCTTCCTTGCCATGGCTTTGGACCGCTACGTAGCCATTTGCAACCCGCTACATCATACCACAGTGCTCACTCATGCTATGGTGGGACGGTTGGGGCTGGCTGCCCTCTTTCGGGGGGTACTCTACATCGGACCTCTGCCTTTGATGATCCGCCTACGGCTGCCCCTTTACAAGGCTCGTGTCATCTCACTCTTACTGTGAGCACATGGCTGTGGTCACCTTGGCATGTGGTGACAGCAGGGTCAACAATGTCTATGGGCTAAGCATTGGTTTTTTGGTCCTAATCTTGGATTCCATGGCTATTGCTGTCTCTTATGTGATGATTTTCCGGGCCGTGATGGGGCTAGCCACACCTGAAGCCCGACTTAAAACCCTGGGGACATGTGGTTCTCACATCTGTGCCATTCTGATCTTTTATGTTCCTATTGTGGTTTCTTCTCTCATTCACCGATTTGGTCACCAGGTACCTCCTCCAATCCACACTTTACTGGCTAACTTCTACCTCCTCATTCCTCCAATCCTTAATCCCATTGTTTACGCTGTCCGCACCAAGCAGATCCGGGAGCGGCTTCTCCAAATGCTGAAGACAGAAACTAAGTTCAAGTGACCATTACTTCCTTCCCTCTCAAACATATGGAGAGGGTATTTAAATATGGTGGGCAGCTTGCCAAATGGGAGCTTCAAGCTGTCTGAGAGGTTAGGCCCAGTGTTCTCCAGTTTTTGTGATTCCAAAGGAATGTTAAGAATGTACAGCTTTAAGGTCTATTTATGTTTATTTTAATGACTAAAGGGTATTTGAGCTGTAAAGGTGAAATTATGATGACCTCAGTAATACAAATAGTTAGGATATTTATAAGAATTAAGTGCTGAATGAACACTAACTTGTGAGGTAGTTAGTACTGTTCACATTTTACACATTGGAAATAGGATAGAATACCCTTGCTTTATCAGTTGCATGCAGAGCTTCTAAGATGCCTAGATCCAATGCTTTGGAGTTTAGAATGTTATATAATAGGTTCTACTTTTTTCTGTGCCTAATTCTAAAAAAAAAAAAAAAAAAAAAAAAAAAAAAAAAAAAGAAAATGGAGTCATTTCATTCATGTGGACTTAACAGGAAAAGCAATTTTGATTTAAGCCTTTAAGCCAAGATGCTAAAATTGCTTGTACTAAGAAAGCATGGAGTGTTCTAGAAGAACATGGCCTGTTAAAAAAAAGATCAGCTTAATGAAGGGCAGTGGACAAGATGATCAGGTTTCAACATGACCTTCGTACTTCTCCTGCAGACCCATTCCTGTCAAGTAGCCTGAAGCGTGTGAGGGCTCCATGAAGAGGAGAACCTCTACTCCTTGCAGTAGCTCTCCCTGGGTACATCTGTAGGATTCCTCACTACATATGGTCTTTTTGAATTGATCACAAAATAAGGTGAAGTTAGGAGTTCTAGCATTTCTAGGAACATTGACTTTACCTTCCAGATTAAGTATTAGTTCAATATCTAGAAAAGGACTACAGAACACTTTGCTAGTTAAGTAGCTGCTGTTGAAAGTTACTAATGTGATTCTTAACCACAGTTTGTAGGCAGTTACTGTCCCTGCTTTGCACATGAGAAATGGATATTCCCAGAAGTGACAGAAGAATTGCCCAAGGTGACTCAGTTTATAGGAGGTAAAAAAAAAAAAAAAAAAAAAAAAAAAAAAAAAAAAAAAAAAGAATTCAGCAGTTAAAAATTTGAGAGAGAGTGAGCATTCATGAGTGAGCATGAGGGGCAGAGGGAGGGGGAGAGAATCTCAAGCTGGCTCCATACTTAGTGCTGAGCCAACAGGGGGATCTAGGCCTGATCCCATGACCCTGATATTATGACCTGAGCCAAAAATCAAGTCCAACACTCGACTGAGCCAGCCAGATGCCACATGGAATTCAGTGGTTTAGAATTCCAAAGCCTCTAGTCCTTATGACCCTCATTTTACTCAGCTGTGGAAAAGATGAAAAGCTCTTTTCCTAAAGGTCTGAATGGTTGCATATTTAATGTCTCTTACACAGCTGACACTATAGTCAGTCCCAACTGCGAATGCATAGATCAGTTTCCCTTCAAAGGGTAGAACTGGATGCAACTCAAAGTTGGATTACAAACCCTTAACTATAACCAGGCAGGAAGATGTTGAGTCTATTGAGCTTTAGGTATACAACAAATGATCACAGACCTTAGTATGAAGGGAAGTAGTCAAGTGCAAATGAAAGATCACTATACAACAACCAGAATAAATGATTTCTGATTCTGACTATTGGGATATCTAGAATGTGTTCATTTAGGGTTCTGATTATATTCACATTTCCCCAAAATCTCTAACTTTTAGCGTATTCTATCCCATAGTTCCATCATGGTTTAGCTTTCCTGAACCTTAGGTCTGAGTTTGGGAAGAGTCAAATAGTCTTCATATAAAGGGAAAAACAATCATAAAAAAAGTCCTATTTTGCTTACCCCCACCATGGTTGGGGACCAAGGGAAGGGGTTTGGAATTAATGTCAAGTATGTGTTCACCGGATCTCAGGGCCCTCTTTGTGGAGGAGTGTGGGAAAAGGCAAGGACAAGGACATGGCCTGGAGAAAAGGTCTGAAGCTTTAGCATTTAACTACCAGGTTAAAAATTGGAGAGAGGTTAGAAACCTTGTTATTCTCCTTTAGTGCATAGCATTTATATTTTCTGAGGGAGAATATGCTCAAGGGACTTAGGTATAAACTTGAACCCAATTTATGGCACTCTTCATTTGGAGTTCAGCCTAGCACATGAATTTGCTTTTTGCAGATTAGCTATGGAATATCAATCCCTCAACTCTTATGTATTTTAGTATTGTGAAACCTGGATGTAGCCAAGAGGCATTCGGTTTGCTACCTAAGCAGAAAAGACTAAGGGGTTTTATAGAGCATACAACAAAGCATGGAGATTGTTGTGGCAACCTTCAAATATGCCTCCCCCATCTCCTGTGGTAGGAGTGTGGTTGACTGTCAGCCTTAGCTGTTGCCATCTAAAAATCCACCATGTTCCGCTGAGGTCACATTTTCCACAAGCAGCTCCTAGCCAATGACTAGGCATTATAGGGATGGAGGGTAGGCCCATTCCTGCAGGACAGAATACTTGTGACAGGTAACTATGGCTATGGGACTCCTCACTGTACTTCTAAAAGCTTCGGCAAGGCCAATGAAGTCTGAGACCTTTCCTTCCTTAACCTCTTTCAATACTTTACAGAGGTCAGACTGGCATTGTGAGCGGATAGCTTGCCCAGCATTTAGCTCCCTCTGCATTTCTCTCCTAGGCATAGCTTCCAGTAAGTCTAATCCCATCTTGTGGTCTGCTTCTTAGAGGACCAAGAGTGGTCAGAGCAAGCAGAATGTAAAGTGGGCATCTGGTTGGCTCACTAACTGCCTGGCGGAGGAGGACGATGCCACCTTAGTGGGTAGGGCATAGGTAGTCCTTCACACATGATGGTGACTCAATTGCTAAAGAGTTCACTAGTGGGGAACTAAGATATCCCAGTAGGGGGGAAACATTGTTGCAAGTGTGAGGATACAAACATTTGAGAAATGTGGGGGAGGGTACAGTCTATAAAGTCATGGATTTTGTTTTTCTAAATTACACTGATGCCTTGCAGAAGGATGGTAAGATTGAGAGCTATTAACAAGCAGTTAATGGTTATGCATGAGAGCCTGAGCGTCTGCTTACTTACAAAAATATTCTTATCTGCTGCAATAATACAGCTAGGTGACAGGCCAAAGACCGTTGTTACAGGCATAGAGCACTCAGTGTTTGAATGCTCAGCCAGAGAAGGTCAGGGTTCTATTTTGGAAAACCTGGGATACTAAAACATGGCATGGGAACCTCTGGATGCCTACCTTTGGGTACAGTGGCCCTATAGCTACTCCAAATGCTTGGACTTTGAGGTGACCCACATTTCCTTAGTAAGGGGTGGCTTCTGTGAGGCAACAGGTGTTCCTCTCCAGAGCCATCCTCACCTCTCTTCCTGGCTACTGTGCTGATAACCAGGGTTAAAGGGAGGCAGGGCCCAAGTTCTCAGAATTAACTAGCACATACTGACATGAGTACCTGTGGGAATGGTTTGGGGAGTATTTGATCAGGAGGAATAGGATGTAAATATGTAATATTAAGACTAGATGAAAAAAAATTAAACCTGGAGGCACTTTCTTGGCATGTGGGATTTATTACCCTTGCGAAGACCCTAGGAGATTGTGCAAACTCCCTATTAGAGTGGCTCCTTTAAGCCTGAAAACAATGGCTAATGAGAAGCAAAGTGAAAATGCTTAGGTTGTCCTGAAAGGTAAAAATAAAGATGTAGGTAATCATATTGTAACAGATTGTTATGTAATGACAGAAGACCCATCAGAAAATTATGTTCAGTTGAACACAAGACACAACATCCAAAACCATCATAACTGGTGATACAGGCACCAGTACCACTGAGAAGTTCAATGGTGGCTCTCACCAGGTCTGATGACCACAAAGGTAGTTCTAGTTGTGGGCTCATGAAGATCAGTGGGGATAATGGAGAAATTGAGACCAAATGGAAGCATTTGACCACAAGTCAGAAGGCTGAAATTACTTTAAGAACTGGTAAAGTCAAAGGGGCTTGGCTCCAGGGGATTGTGGAGCTGTTTTAGTGTTTTTGGCCCCAAGGGCTGAAACAGGTGGGTAGCCAGCAAGGCTCTGGCTTACCATCTAGAAAAACAAAGTACAATGGATATGAGACTAGGGATGGTCATTGCAATAGTCAATCTCTTGCTCAGTTTCCAGACCTGTACTAATTTTCAAGATCTAGGACTCATTAACCCAAGAGGTACCTGGATCCCTAAGGGGAAGGACTCAAAAAACCTCAGTTCTATACCATGATTCCCTGAACTCTTCTCTAAAGAGAACTATGGTCATTTAGGCAATTTTACACTAGGAAGAGAATACCTAGACATTGAAGACTGATACTGATAAACTGAAAGAACAATCATGGTCCCTCTACTGGAGTTGGGGCTCTGCTCTAGGTAGTAGAATCCAGTCAGTAAGGGGTCTTAGAGAAAGTCCAGTTCTCAGTATGTCCTGATTTCACAAACTTACCCAGTGGTCACTTCTTCAGCCACTTAGTGACTGATTAGAACTATTAGAGTAGAGTTGGAATAACTACCATATGGCATACCTGGTCTGTGAGGGAAGAGGTAGCACAGTGGGGAAGGCCAGATAGAAGTCTCCAAAATTTCTCTCCAAAGTTAAAAAAAAAAAAAAATGCTACTCAGGTCCATGATAGAGAATTTAGCAACTGGGCAGATGTATTGTTTATTCCAGTTTCAAGAGGACTGAGAAGTTTCCATTCACATGGGATAGGCAATAGTACTCAGCTTCCCTCAGGGGCATGTTAACTTTTTTTTTCTTTTCTTTTTTTAATTTTTTTGTAACGTTTATTTTTGAGACAGAGAGAGACAGAACATGAACAGGGGAGGGGCAGAGAGAGAGGGAGACAGAATCTGAAACAGGCTCCAGGCTCTGAGCTGTCAGCACAGAGCCCGACGCGGGGCTTGAACTCACGGACCGTGAGATCATGACCTGAGCCGAAG